CACCATTTCACAAAGTTCGAATCATTTCAAATTGGTTTCTTGAACATGACAATGAGTTCACTGTACTAAAATGGCCCCACAGTCACCAGATCTCAACCCAATAGAGCATCTTTGGGATGTGGTAGAACGGGAGCTTCGTGTCCTGGATGTGCATCCCACAAATCTCCATCAACTGCAAGATGCTATCCTATCAATATGGGCCAACATTTCTAAAGAATGCTTTCAGCACCTTGTTGAATCAATGCCATGTAAAATTAAGGCAGTTCTGAAGGTGAAAGGAGGTCAAACACAATATTAGTATGTGTAAATAAAGTTGCTTGCTTGCTACCATGGCAACATCAAATTAGAGAACCTGCTGATAAACGTTAAGAACCGCATTGTCACACTCACTGACTTTGGATGCGGCGATCTTATGACAGAATCTGCCTATGCGACATACTCAGGTGTATATTAGTTCTCAAAACTCTTGTGAATCAGTTAACTCAACGCTTGTATGCTAATGCTGTGGTAGAGACTCACACATCCGACAAACACTCTTTCCTCCAATTTGTACTGCCCTCCCAAGTACAGAACGAAGGACGAGTTTCATGGAAAGCCGGCGGTGACGGTCTGGTCTTTGGGGATCCTCTTGTTCAGAATGCTGTGTGGATACTTTCCAGACAGTTTCGACTTCTACAGGACCAATATGAACAGCTGGTACAAATCTGGCTTGACCGAAGGTGATGTGTTTAGGCCTATTACTTCAAGGATAGGATAGATAATGCTGGAATTTGTCGGCTTTCTGACCTGAAGATCTTACAGCTTTGAAAGATGAAAGTAGAGAGGATGTAAAGTTTATGGTAATAACCAGACGTCTCTCCATCTTTCTCACAGAATGCTGCCATTTGATCTGTTCACTTCTGCAGCAGAAGCCAGAACGTCGGCTTGATCTGGACAAGATTATTCAACACAAATGGTTTTAGGTACTGAGCCTTGAGCAAAAAACGATTTAAGATGTATTTTGAAAATCTCACCTTTTCTAAGAGTAATGAATTTAGCACCCTTATTTCAGTTTTTTTGTTCCAGGTGTAAAACCGGTCAGAAGCAACATCTGTCCAGAAGATGTCTTTCCATTTGGTGAAAAAATCCACCAAAAACAAGAGCTCAGGATGAGATGAGGGACCTGAGACGGAAACATCCAGGAGAAGTACCGATGGTAAATGACAACCATGTTCTATGTAGTTTCCTGGAGCTCTTTACATGAAAACGCCAGTTCATCATTTACACCTAAAAATGAGAAACTGGAACTTTTCTCACCTGTTCTAAGTGTAAGGTGTCATCTAACTGACGCCGCATGGTCAAAATCAACATCCGACGCACATGGCACCCTTTAGTGTCAATATGAGACGCAGATATGTGGGCCAGAAGACGCCCCCCTAGTGGTCTAACCCTAACCCTACCCCACACCTAAACCTACCCATAACGGAAGCGTCATCTAACTGACGCTAAAGGGTGCAATGTGCGTCAGATTTAGACGCATGGTCAAAAACGTAAGTTAGATGATGCCCTAGGATGAGAATGCGTTGATAAAACGCATTAGTGTTTTATTTGTTCCAGGTGTAAGACTCCAAAAGTGTCTGATCAGCTGTGTGTCCGGCAGACTGAATCGACTGGTCTCTCCATCACCCGCTTTAGCCTCTTGCATCTTGGCTTGAACCAGCAACATTAGTATCTGATGCTATTGCTTTCAGAAGGATGTGAAAATAAATCATTGTACTTTTGTAAAAAAATTGAGAGTTGATTAGTTCCTCAGAACAGCCGCAGAGGTTACGGTCAGAGTTTCAAAGAGATCTACTGTAAAGTCAAAAAAATGTAGTTATCCAGCATGATGTTACCATTCTCCGCCTTCTACTTGTGTAAAATTGTATATTTTACATTTCATATTCACAGAATGATGACTGATTTTGCAGGCAACATGTAATCATAATTGATGCATGTAAAAATGTTTTTTTTTTAATTATTATTAGAAGTTCAAAATTGGCATATTGCTCTTTAAAGGGTAACTAACCCCCTGGTCAGAGCCTGACTCCACCCACTGGCAATATTTGAAAACGCTGAAATGCTAAAACACTCAATCCTGATCGTTTTCAATACTCACAATTCAAATTCCTGACTCCCAACAGTGGTTTTGACGACACAAGATGGTTTTTATATTGCCAAGGGCGTAGCTCGCGTGGTGAGCTGAAACCTGCGTATGTCACGAAGTGCGGAACATCCAATAGGAAAATTTAACTGCGGTAGCCACCGTTCAACCTGAAGAGGGCAGCACTAAGACCTTTTTACACCATAATATTGTTGAAATAGAACACAAATGTCAAAAAAGTTACTCATATCAATGACTGGTTTTAATAAAGATCCATTCTTACAGATCATTAACTAAAAAAAGTTGGTTAAGTGTTTAGTTACTCTTAGATATATATTTTTTACATTGACTTATTTCTTATTTAATTCTATAATGAAAATCTTTGACCATCTTTTTTTTTTCTTCAAAGGAGCTCAAAAGCATACAAATTAAAATTAAAAATAAAAGTCTTCATTTTACTATCTTGCGTCATGGTTATTTAAAAAATTAATACTGATTATAGCAGTGTCTTAAAAAGCATATAGTGAGTACATTTGTAATACATAATATAATATTTTTTTGACTGAGCAGCTTTATAATATGTATTAAAGGGATCCATGGCACGGAGCACATCAAATAGAAACAAGCTCAAATGTGCTAGCTTGACGTGCGGAGCCAATGCAGTCATGCAAGCATCTTCTGTTTACCACATTTGATGTGCTCTATGTTTCCCTTTAAGACTAATAATACACAAATCAGTAAGGTTTATTTTTGCACTTCAAGCAAGTAGGGTTGAGCTGCCATTGACCATATTTGATAAACTAGGTGCATTGATCAAAGTTTAATATGAATAAAAACATAAATTAAACCTGTTTATAATATAAACTAATCATGTCTCTTCAGAAGAGTTGACTACTCAATTCATATGGATTACTTTTACAATAGAAGTTCTGATGATATATGTTTATATATATATATGAAAGTGTAAAAGGGTTAGGTCACCTAAAAATGAAACCCATAAGAGATATTTTTATGATTCTACATTCTCCTTGTGTGAAGTCTTGCGTGTGTAATGTCAAGCTTGCGAGTCATGGCAATATCTGATTGGTCAGCCATATTGTATCCGAGTCAGATTTTTACATTCACTCAGTCAAAAATTAAGTTATTCACATATCGGTCTGAACAGTTCAATATCAAATGTGAAAATCATCTTTAAAAATCCTTATCTTTTTAAGTGAATGGAAATGTCATAGGAATTAATTATTTAAAAAGTGTGGTAACAAGTAACCCTAAAAAAAAAAACAATCCTTTCTGCCATCTCAGTTTAATATCAAAAAGACAACTCTTGGCAAGACGATTTCATGTTGGCTTCCCAAAAATAATGTAGTGTTTTTACAAATCTAGAGATCTCCAAAACTAAGGCAAAGAAATATTAAAGACTATTTTTTGGAAAGCAAACATGAAAATGGCTTGGCAAAAAAAAATTAGCAGTTACCTAAGATTTAACTGTGTTTAATGCATGCAACATGTTTCCATTTGTTTAGATGTAATGGAGTGCTGACACACATATAGCAATATTTAACAAAAAAATTTATTTACTTTTCACAAGTCAAGTTACACAAGGGCTATATTTAAAAAAACAAAAACAAACAAACTTCAGCACAAATGTGAAAACATGCACCAAAATGTGAGTGACCAGAAAATAAAAACAATTTGAAGAAAATGGAAAAGCATCTTTACATCAGCTTGCCAAAATTAAAGTCTTCGGAGATCCAGGACATCCATTTCAAAATAAACTTGCTTCTTTTTTCGGTTGATGATCAAACTGAGAAAGTAGATGACAAAAAAAGTATCAGATATTGGGTAAAAATTCACATGACATTAAAGGCTTTTACATTAAACTTGTTACACAAAGAGTTGCTAAACAAGTTTGATGATCGAACTAGGGCTTGTAAATGAACCTCTAAAGAAAATGAGGATGTTAAAGGGATAGTTCACTTTGAAATAAATTTTTGACACGTTTTAGCTTACCTCAAGGGCATCCATGATGTAGGTGTCTTTGTTTCCGCAGTAGTTTCAACTTTGATATGTTAAGGTCAAACCGTTCTTGTCTATCACTCATATAATGGAGGTCTATGGTCACCACCTCATAGAGCATGCACAGAGAAGTCCAAATTAAACATGATTTAATGACTCAGAAATGTAAGTACACATTGATGGCCTGAGACACGAAACAAGCAGTTTGAGTGAGAAAATGAACAGTATTTATATCGTTTTCACCTCTTGTAACCACAGCTACATCCAAATGATCTGAGGGCGCGGGCGCTTCGGTGATCTCTCGCACTAGCGAAAAAAATTCAACGTTGTCTGTTGATATCGATATCTAAATATGTTTAGATCTTCAGTGAAAGGTAAACCTTCCGAAATCTGTGTAAACAGTGAGTGACATACAAGCGTGAGAGATCACTACCAGCGCTTACGCAGACCAAAGCACCCGCGCCCTCAGAGTACTTGGACATGGCTGTGGTTACAAGAGGTAAAAACGATATAAATACTGTTTGTTTTCTCAAGCAAACTGCTCGTTTCGTGTCTTAGGCCATCAATGTGTACTTGCATTTACGAGTCATTAAATCATGTTTAATTTGGACTTCTCTGTGCATGGTCTTTGAGGTGGTGACCATAGACCTGCATTATATGACTGACAGACAAGAACGGTTTGACCTAAAAATATCAAAATTGAAACTACTGCTGAAAACAAAGACACCTACATCTTGGGTGCCCTTGAGGCAAGCTAAAATTAATTTCAAAGTGAACTATACCTTTAATTTATGAACATCAAGAGACCTGAAGAGGTGCCCGTGACTAAAAGGAGTAAAACTCCTACCAGCACACAAGGGAACGATCTGTTATTAAATTAGTTTGGGTTTTTGACACCTTGTGGTTTGCCAGGCTTTTTGTCTTGTTGCTGTCCACGACCAGTTCCCGGCATGCCTCTCCCACGACCACCGAAAACACCTAAAAAGACAACAAAAAAAAGTCTGTCAATTGCATATTAGAGATGCACAGTCGACGACTCCTGAATCCACGGATAAAAATAAATCATCCACCCGTCACCCAACTTAAGCGCCGTACACACCGGGACGAATATCAGCGCGCGTTATTCGTCAGCGTTTTTGTGTTGTTTTTCGCTGACGATGAGCCGAGTGAACATGCAAATTCATTCCCTGACATTAGATGGCGCCAATTTTCTCAGCAATACCACTCCATAACAGTTCTCTTTTATCAAGATGTTTGTAGTCGCTGTCGCGTTTGTCATATAGTTCTTTATGCTCTAACAACCAACGAGAACAGCAGCTCTACATTCATCTTGCCTTGCATCTTCCTCGTCTTATTTCTTCCTGGCTGTGTGTAGACGGCGGCGCTACTTGGCTTATATCTTCTTCGCCCTTGCATATGTGAGCTCAGCAAGACTGTTTTGTGTTTGAGCGCCCCCAAGTTGTGTTTTACTGTAACAACAGAAGCTGCAAACATGTGAGCAAAAGCGCCAATCTCATTGGTCGGATAGTTTTTGACGCAGCACGCTAAACTAAAAAAACGAACCCGAGGCGTTTTTTCTAAAATGACGCTTTTACGCGTCAGTGTGCACACTCACATTGGCGCCCATTGTTTAGTCACGAGGCATTAAACGTCTGCAAATAACATGTGCGAAATTAGTCCTGGTGTGAAGAGGTCTTTAAACATGAATTTCTCTGATTTAGACATCTGCACCCGATCGTCACATTACAAATATTCAAATTCTCAGTGTGTTAAGCATGATATGGTATCTTATTACACTTAAGTAGGCTGCTTTTAAATGAACATTTATTAAAAGTAAAAGTTCTTTGGCAAAATTGCTTTCCTTAATAACCGGAAAACACAGGCTTTACTCCCTTCAAACTAGAGATTTTAAAGGTCCTGTTCTTTGTGATCCCACGTTTCAAACTTTAATGTGTAATGTTGTTGTTAGAATATAAATAATATCTGTAAAATTATAAATCTCAAAGTTCAATGCCAAGTGAGATATTTTATTTAACAGAAGTAGCCTACATCGAGCGGCCCATTTGGACTACATCCCTCTACTTCCTTCTTTAATGACGTCAGCAGAACAGTTTTTTGACTAACGTCATATCAACAGAAAAATATACCAGGATAACCTGGCTTCTCTTGAGACTCCCCTACCTCGTAACATAGTTAAAGACATGCTAAAAAAGCCCGCTCAGATTTTAACTGGATCGGTTTTGATTGTATTTGTGACATCAGAACGGATTATCAGCAGTGTATGCAGATATTACCATGATCCGTGCATCACTAGTGTATGCATTTCAAAAATTATGACCGCAACGTTCAAGTTAACCCAACATCTTTGACAATTCTGGCCCACTATTCTTTTAACAAGAGCTTTGAAACGTGTCTTACCTCGGCCGGTTCCACCACCTCTTCCAGGTCCACCTCCCCTGCCTTTTCCCTGTGGCTTGTTCTGCTGCATACCTCCCCGGCCACGTCCCTTCGACTGTACTTCCTCTTTCACCATATCTATGATCTCATCAGGGATTCGTAAGTATTTGATGGTGCTTCCTCTGATGTAGCATTCCGGCATCCTCCAAAATTTATCTCCATCCTGCAAATCAAAATCAGCAGGCAGAGAAAAAACCTTCACATTTCAGCACACACACACACACAAACACCATAATTGCTCAATCATGTTTATGCAAGCAACGATATCCAAAGAAGCCCTCATCTCGAGGAATGAGGATTTATTTACCCTTGAAGTGCAAATAACTTCTCTCAAGTTGATGTTCATCCAGTTGTCACAGCTGACCAGATGGCCATTGTACGTCTCACCATTCTTTAACTCCACCAGCTGAAAACAAAAGCAGACTAAATTAAGAAACAGGTAAACTTTTTAATTGTCATTTCTTTGTATTGGTCATGTTAGTTGTGTTTAATTCCTCTTATAAAACAGCATAAAACTGAATGCCCCCCTTTCAGGGGTTCTTTTTCTCATTTTCACCATACGCATTGAAAAAAGATTCATTTAATTGTTTTAAGCCTTTAAAGGCATACTTCACTTTTTTTTTTTTTTTTTGGGAAAAGGCTCATTTTACAACTCCCCCAGAGTTGAAAGAGGAGCAAATGGATCGCTGCAATTCACAGAAACAACTGGAATCCAGTCAGCGAAAGGTGGATTTGCAGTTATCATTTTGTGTCAATATGCTGAATTTAGGTGTAAAACCATACCCATATATTTTGTATTGTTATATATATTAACAGCTCATCAATTAAATATTTATCATTGCATATTCTTCATTATTGGATGTTTTTTAAAACACTGACCAAAAAAAAAAAAAACGATAAAGTATTAGGACTGGATGATATGATGATATATATAGGCTACATACAACACTGATATAAGTGATCACCCGGATTTAGACCTATATTGTATTTACATAAAGCATTCATCACAGGCAAATTTGCGAATTTATGTTTAGGTCTATATTGCTTTTATTTCCCCGGTGTCGACATAAATGTCAGGCAACACGATTCCTGGCTGCATGTCAATATCCATGGATCACTGGATCTTTAGTAAGTTGTAAGGAACACTGTATTGAGTCCAACATTTAGTTTAAATTGATACAATTGTTCGCTTTAGTTGCATTTTCGCAGTTTCCCCTATTAAATCCAGTCACGCAGCAGATCTTTTGCCACTCAGTGAGGCTGAGCGGGGTTGTTCCGGCGGGAAAGTGACGTCAATGCATTTCCTCTATTCTTCTAAATATCAGAAAACCGGCTGAATGGATTCGAAAATGGTAAATCCCAACTGTTTAACTCTGGGGGAGTTATAAAATTAGCCGATTTCCAAAAAAAAAGGTGGAGTATCCCTTTAACTATACCAGAATCACCAGAAAACTTCAATCTGAAGAAAAAAAACAAAAAAACTATTGACATTTGACAATATATTAGGTTATTCTAAAATATTCAGATATATCAGTTGATTAAGAGTGATGGGAGGCCTTACATCATTTTCAATGCTTTATGGATGTGGATGGCAGAGCTAGAATTTCCATTCCTATAGTAACAGTGACTTTTCTGATGGATTGGTGGATGGATTTTCAAAATTTTGGGTAGTACAGTTTTTTACAGTGAATTCAGCAAGTACTCCTTTTTTATCTTGTTGAAAACACATTTATAGTTTACAAAAAGTACATAATCTTGAACGTTGTCTGGAATGTAATATATAATATTGATAATAATATTAAAACATTTCTCTATGAAGAACAGTAATGAGATATTTACTTGTGGACTACCTCGATACCATAATACATGTACTATGGTATTGCTACTGTACTATAGTCCAAAAACAGCAAAGACCATGGCATGTTACTCAGGAGGACATGGCTATGATAAAGTTGCACAAAACTGTGCGTACATGATGCGAGTTGCCCCATACTCACCATCGGGTGGTTCTGTGCGGTCTTCAGTAAAGATAACGGGAGCTAGGAGAGAAGACATCAACCAGTAAAGGTGGTGAATCTGAATCTCTAGATGTTACACTTTTTATGGTGTCAATTCCACAATCTAATGACAAACCTCATGAAAATTAACCATAGTTTTACCACACACACACACACACAGTTTATTAAACCATGGCAACTGGGTCAATGATATTACATGCATATTTTAGTGTCCAAAATGCATTATTTTCTTTTAAAATAATGACACATCACTTTATTCTATAAACCCTATTTAGTTTGAAATTATTTTTTAGTACATTTAAATACATATTTAATGTTTTGTTAGTTGCACCAGCTGACATTTTGGGGGGTTAAAATGTCTGAACAAATGAACTAAGATCATTTAAAATAGTGTCTTAATAACAACAATCATGTAATGTTTGAAACCTTTCACATAAATCATTCAATTTTATTAATATCAGTAGTTTTAAAGCTGTTGTGATAGCCTAATTGAAAAAGAGAAAATTTGTCCAGAAATTAGTATATTCTCAAATGTCAGGGTGGCATATCTGCTGAAAACATGGCTCTTTTGTTATGAATTAATAAGGTAATAATAACAGTAAACAAGATGATGCATCATCCAGAGGAGCCCGACTGATCCTTGAGGCAGAGAAAGGGTTTGTGGATCTCTCTGTATGGGCATTCTCTGGTATGGGTAGCTACACTTTCCATGTCAGGTGGCACAACATATATAGGCCTATTTACACACAAATATTTAGTTGAACCGCCAAACATAAAAACTGCCAAAAATTGAATTTAAAAACATTGAAATGCAGTTTAACAACTGAAACTTGTAAAACACATGACTCAAAAATATGCATTGCATCAGTTTTGAAAAAGATAAAAGTTTTGTCAATGGCTCAACCTCAAATTAACCATGGTTTTGCTACACTAATCATAATTTAACCATTGTATTTGCAGTAAAACTGTGGTAGTAAACAAATACAAACAAAAAACAAATAGTAATCAAAATCATGATACTATACACTTTACCAGAACTATTTCTTAGTAAGGGGAGTAAGTTACATACTAAAGTGTAAAATAATGTTATATTGCTTCTCTTTAGCTGACACTGAATTGTATTTTGTCGGCCTTTGAAAACGTCTGTCGACTACTAAAGAGCATCGCGTGTCAAGCACTGATCTATAATATACAGACTATATAGAAAATAATAGATTAGTATCTATAATATACAGATCAGTGGGGTCTGTGGTGGTTTGTAACGGATATTATTATTAAAGGCAAGCATTAAGCAAATTATTAATTAAAACCGCAAAGCTAGGTGTTCGTCTAGCATATACGACACTGCACTAGAGCGCGCTCGCGAATGTAGATCAGCAAGCTAACGTTACAACTTCTCTACTGAACACAGGAACTGAGCTTCAGTTTAAGTAGTCTGTACGTTTATAGACGTTCACTTACCATGTCAGCTGAACGACTGATCAGCCCTTATAATCTTTAAAAAAGTAAAGTTTAATCAGCTGAGGTCTTTAATCACAAATGTTTGTTGTGAATCTTCTTTGCAGCACAAGGTGATCTGCGAAGTGCGAACTGTTGTACTTCCAGGTAAAAGCGGAAGTTGTCAAAATAAAAGTCGACTAATTTATTATCACTGCAGTTTCAGCAACAATAGTTTCAGTTTACTGCAATAATATAGTAAACATTTACGGCACACGAGACCGTTTTCACAGACAAGGTTTAAACCTAGGGCTCGTTCTTCGTACGTTGCTTAAAACATCCGAGATCAAATGAGACATCCAAGATGATATCATCGTGCTAATCATGATCCGGCTAATTGGGTTCTTCGAACACACCTGTTGTTTATGATTAGTATCGCTGGATTGAGTTATCTGAGATAACTGCGCGTTCTCGCGTTGGTTTAAAAGGGGACATGTATCGATAGCAGAACCAGTGATCAGCAACGCTGCTATTGGCTGTTCAGCATGGCCAAAGAAAACGCCCAGTTTTTCTCCCAAGCAGAGCAAGCGCTTTTAATGCAAGGTTATGCCGAATTTCAGTCTTTAATTAAAACGCCAGGAACACCTCAAAGTGTGCAAAAGCCAGGAGAGAGTGCTGGCAAAAGTAGAAGACAAATTAAATGCGTTTGTGGTGGCCATGTTAGATGTTTTAATAACTTATTATTATTATTATTATTTTATTTTTATTTTCATAATTTCATAATTACTTTGTTCATTGTAATGTCGAGTCACCACACTATAATAATGGACATGGTGAAAGTGAAGTACAAAAATATTCTACTTAGGCCTAATGGTAATTTTACTAGGCCTTATAGGCCTACTAGTCTCTTTTAAAAAGGCACTGTTAAATAAATGATTGTCTGTTTATAAAAGCAAACAGGAAAAAGGCTGAGAAAAAAACTAATAATGATGCTCCTGACCCTGGCAGAAGAGCTGACCCTTGGGTTGGATGTGAATTGCCCTGTTGTGAAGGGCATCCCTGGGTTCAGCTCTTCCAGACCCACATCAGGGACCAGTAGCAGCAACACCTACATCACTGGGAAATGAGATTTAAATTATCTTTGTACACTGTGAAATAATTTGCTGCTGCATTAAATGAAGTAGACCCATAATGCAAATTGGCTGGTTTAGTCATTTCAACTGTTAAATCTTGAGTAATGATAAATTGCTTTGTCTTGTGAAAGTAAAAACTGATAAACTTATGTTAATGTAAAAATATTTTGCCATGAGTTATCAATCACATTGCACTTGAGAGTGAAGAAAACTTCAGATGGCTGTCCTTTTGAGGAAGTACTTTAATTGAATTGATGGCTTTAATTGATTTCTACTTGTGCCTATGCCTATTATTTCTGACAGGAGTCCACATGTACAGAAAGGCCTACAGAAGAGTCTGCACACAGCAGTGATACAGGGGTGGGCAGTGTAGACAACTTTTCCTTTTTATTTGTTGCATTTGCATGTGTGACACAAACGACACAGGGTGAAATTCGTTCCCCATTTGAGTCTTCAACAGAAAATAGAATATTTTGAAAAAATAAAAATCAGGGGGAGAAATAACTTGACTAAGTTGCACTAGAAATAGAGTTGCTTCAAAATAAACTTCAGACTTAAATACACTATTTCACACAGAGTACTATTGCTGACCTTAATATCTCTTAATATCTCTTGACCTTAAAATATGACTGAATAACTGGCTTTTCTTTACAAAGAACTATTGAAATAAAACTCTAAGCAAATAGAGTTTTGCAAATTTGTCTTGTCTTTTATTTTAGGCTTAATTAATTTTTTTTTCTATGTTTCTGATGTTGGCAATGTTGTGTAATATGACTGGTCTGGGGTTTGGGTCAGGGAATGGGGTCATAAAACACCTGTCTCCATGCAGGATCCTGTTGTTATCACCTGTATAATGGAAAAATGCATTTCTCATCGAATCGAACATTAATGTGCATTTCCCACAAAATAAAGTATAAACGACACCCTCACGACGATCGTTTCACGAGAAAAAAAAAATAATCTCAGAAATTAGGCTACACTATCGTGCTGCGCTAAAGGACTTCCCGTATCAGCCGCGATCTAATCCTGTTTACATGAAATAAGCCTGCTCGCGAGCAGGTTCAAGCTGACGGACCTGTTGCTATGACAGCAAGTCCAGGATGAGCGTCGAAGAACCAAACGATCCAAGATCATGCCAAATCGACAACAATCAAATCCAGCTAACTGAGTTAGCGAGGTACGAAGAACGAGCCCCTAGTCCCAGACTAAAATGAAAACAACTGAATACATTTTAAAACCTGCCAATGCCATAGTTTTGTCTCAAGATGCTCACTAGAAATGTCATGAGGTCTTGGTTGTAATCAGTAGTAGCATTTTTTAATTATATGTTTGTGATTGAAACCATTTGCTATTGATGTTTGTCAAAATACAACTTTTTGTAAAGCATATGTTGCTTGTTTTCCATTTTAGTACCCTCATAGCAATAAAAAACTAAATCTGGTTCAATGGTGGGGTTTTAATTATGATGGCTATTATCTGGGACCCCCAAGTTCACAGAAAATGGGGTGAAATAATGAATACGGTAAAATGTCCTAATTTAACTAAGACTTAATCTAAACCCCGACTGAAACACGGCTACAATGTGTTTAATCATTTAAGAACACTCATCATAGTTCATAAAATGCAGTTTATTTTGAAATAATGATCAGAGATATTTTATACATTTGTTTATGTTATATACACACCTATGTAAATGTACAATGCCAAGAACACGTTAAGAGTCTACTTCTGTCGTTTTTGCTTTGTTTTTTTCTTTTCCTTTTTGTTCTGGAGGCTTTCTTGAGTTTTTCCTTTCAGTTTCTTCTTGTTTCTGCTGATCTTATCTAGTTCATTTCTCCTTTTTTCTTCCAAATCTGGATCCTGTGATTGATACAAAAGTAGTTTAGGAAAAAAAAAAAGATTTAATTTGTATGTGTTTACTTATGCATTATATTTATTTAATATCTGAAGAATGTGAGAGAAAAAAAAACCCACAAGCAAAGTCACTCTGCAAGTACTTTAAAATCCTGACATCAAATCTAAACGAAATGGCAACTTCTATATATACATTTTGATAATCTATAATCTTTTCTATGTTTAAAGCATGCATTTAGGATAAAACAGCTCACTTTTCCCTCCAGAATCATCTGTTTCCTTTTGTTTATCTTCTTTTTCTCATCAAAATCAGTGGACTCCAGTTTCTATAACAGAATTAACAATTGTAAGATTATGGTTGCATGTGTTTGTGTTATACAAACTATATATTGAAAAAAAAAAATCTCACAATTTCACACTGTCGTCTTGTTACGTTGACTTGGGTTAGGATCTTCAACACCTCTTTCTCTTCAACAGGATACTCCTTCAGTTTCACCTCTAAACAATAATCATAAACGTACTCTTACAGCAAGTCATTTCATAGAAAGTCCATTTACTTGCTTTTATCACAAGAGAATATTTAGATTCTAGAGTAAAGTTCTCTCTAAATGAGAAAATCTGTTTTAGTTGTGAACTTACGGGTCTGTTCCTCAATAGCAGTGATGAGGTGGATGTCATACTGTGTGACTAGAGTGATTGACACACCATTTCGGCCTGGACAACAGGAAGAGGACGTTATAAAACAGACGGTCCAATTCTGAATTTGTATTTGTTATAGCAACATACACTTTTATTAATAACCATGCAGCCCTAAAGTGAAACAAGTGTACAGCGACCATAGCAGATGTTATATCACGTCGGAGATTAAACATTACAGCACAGTGGTTTTTCAACTGGTGGGTCGCACAGGTGTTTTGAACAAATTCATCTGTCATTGGTATGGCTAACACTAACACAACATCTAACCCAGTGTTTGTAAAATCCCAGTTTTCCATGCATATATAAAATTGTCGCTTTGTCATGTTCATAATTTAGTTTAGTGGAAATTCACAGTAAATGTTATATCACAGGGTTTGGATAATGAAACAATAATATTTTAGTATACTGTGCTATTGATGCTATACAGCATTAATTTGTCCAGGGAATACAAGTCCTTCACAGTGGCCAGTGATTTTGAGCCATTCTTCCAAAACAGTGGCCAAGTCTCTATTTGATACTGACTTGCTCCTCTCCAAAATTGCCCAAAGTAGCTTAAAAATATTTAGATCTAGCAACGAGAACTTCACTTTCATGTTCATCAAACCATTCTGTCCTGAAAAATTGTAAAAAAATAAAAATACAGGTACTGCGTTAGATTAAACTGGGAAGGGTCATAGCACTTGCATATTGTATATGCAATATCCAATTTATCTTTGCATAAAAGCGTCTGCTAAATGAATAAATGTAAATGTAAGCCTGGCTGTGAATTGGTGCATTATCATGCTGATACACAGAACTAGAGCCCGACCGATAAAGGATTTTGAAGGCCGATACCGATACAAATATTTTTGGGTTTTAAAATCCGATATTCCGGCCGATATTTTATTTATTTATTTGAAACTGGACATGATAGTCACAAATTTTGTCATGCTTATTTGAGTTAAGAGAACTGATGGGGATGTTCTTTTAATTGTTATTTAAGCAATGTATGTATTGTGACCAACTCAACGAGTGTTGCCAACAGGAACGGTGTAGAGTGCCCTCTGGTGGACAAACTATAAAACTCCAACACTCATGACATGGTTGAAGCGTGTTTCGTTCGTTTTTATTTTTTAAATTCATTTTTCGGCCATTATAACTGCCGATACCGATAGTTTGGAAAATGCCTAATATCGGTCTGCCGATATATCGGTCTGGCTCTACACAGAACCCCCTTCAGGGTACAATGTTTGAACAATTAGTTTGCTCATTGTCCTCCAGAATGGTTCGGTTGTCCTGGGCAGTGACGGACATCAAGCACAGTACTGGAATGCCATGATATTGCAGCCCAAACCATCAGTGGTCCAACCCCGTGCTTCAGTCTGGACTCAATACATGTTTCCCAAGGTCCACAACCCAAGATGTGCACTGTTGGCACCAGTGACACTGATATTTGGCAAACAAAAGGTGAGTCTGTGGAGGTCCCGACCAAAATCCTGCGTGGTGGTATGCCGACATTATCCTGAATACCATAGCTATCGATACACCACAAAGACTTGCTGTCCTGGTCACAGATGAGCCAACAATTCGTCCTCTTTTGTTCCTCGATATGTCTCCCATTATGTTGTGTGTATTGCAATATTTTATGTACAGCTCTGCTAACACTCTGCTCTTACAGCATATATAGGCACGAAACCTCCAATAATATATTGGCCAGTGTGTCAGTTCCATTGTCCAACCCCTGTATTTCATGTGTAATTTTTACTACTTCATGATTTATTTTAAAGAAAATGTTTAATTATACTGTATATTACAAGGATGCTAGAATATTTAAAATGACTGATTTTAGTCATTAATGATTTATAGGTTTAATAAATATTAAAGAAACATAGTATAGAATTTGAATATTAGACCTAAAATTAAAATAGTCTGCTTATTGGTATAAGCCAGAGAAGAATAACAATAACAACACTTTTAACTGTGGGTTGACATTTAGTTATATTAATAGAGCTCTAAACTCACCAGCTCGAGCGGTTCGTCCCACTCTGTGGATGTAGATTTTTGGCAAACCTGGTGTGTTGTGATTAATAACAACTTGCACTGTAGGAATATCTAAACCCCTTCAGATGAGAACAGAAAAAAACGCATAAAAACACGAGAAAGTGGAATAAATTCGAAAAAGGCAAAGAGCAATAATGGTGAGGTGTGTTGAGAAATGTGTACCTGGCAGCAACATCTGTGGCTATAAGAATTTTAAAGACGTTGGACTTGAACTTCGCAAGGTTGGCAAAACGCTGTCTCTGAACGGTGGGAGGGAAATAAAAGCCATTAGTAGACATTAGGCACTGAGTGAGAATCAATTTTAACTACATAACGTGTCACTTACCTGCTTCATCATTGAGTGCAGAGAGATGGTTGGGAAATTGAATTCACGCAGCATCATTGTGAGTATTTGGCAGTTCCTGGAATATTTACACCACAATATCAACATGATCAAATTATCATTATTATAGATTTATATAATTTCTTTTGAAAATGTGAGTGGTTCTTGCCTGTGTAAACTTGCAAACATAATGCTATGGCAATCTGGTAAATCTCTAGAAGGTTATTTGGGTGTTCAATTGGTTAACCAGTTCAAAAGAGTCCCTTAGATATGACTCAGATTCTTCCTTTAATGCTTGTCAATGGGATTTGCCCACCAAGTAAAATATCGAGTCTGATTGATGTACATTTTGAGGTAGCAGTATGCAGTCTGGTTATGATGTAAAGTTGAATACTTATAGGCTATGTGCACAACCGTAGTTTCGAACTTCCGCTTTTGTCAGAAGTTGGCGTATCAGTTTCCGGTCTACGACTGGTCATCCGCATCCACTAATAAACAAACAAGATGAGTGCTGCTGTTGTACGAAAAAAAGAGTTCTTAAACACATCTAAGTTTCTTAGAACTGTAGTGGATCTAACGTCCGTTTCACACCCGTTTGCAGTGTGTGTTGCGGTGCAGGATCGTGCTGTTAGTGCGTTCACATATTATGATGCGTTTGCACAGTGAATAACTGATCCGCCGCATACTTAATATTTTTATTTAAAGTCCAGAAGTTATGTTGCAACTTATTTTTAAAAACAAAAAGTTGTGTCAGCATTGCGATTCTTTGTATGCACGTTTAAACACAATCTAAATAATGTAAGTTAGTGCTATTACTCCATGCATTACAAGTTGCTCAGTCAAATATTTCCTATATTAAAATCGCAAATAATTTAAATTAAAACTTAAAAATTGACAAAAGCAGCCGACTTGCCTTTTCGTTTGCATCTTAATTTTAAAACAATAGATCTTGCATGTCACTATTTTTCCACCTCCACGATCGAGATTCGAGACGAGTTCATTCTGTCGCCTGGTTGAAGTAAATTGTAGTTTTCCTTGATTAAATGTGCATTTATGGTGAGATTACTACATTTTATTTAATTAAACGCATTTATGGTGAAATTACTACATTTTCAGGTCAATCTTTATCATTTTGACCACCAGCGTTTGCAGCACAGCAGAAATAGATTCGCTGTTATATGTACCACACCAGTGAAAAGTGAAAGCCCTAACCTGTTTACATGGTGCGTTAGGAAACTGCTGTGCGGCACTTGCTCTGCTTCAATAACAGCCATTTGAGCTTCTACTGCTTCCTGATAAACACCAACCTTCGTGAGCAGTGGCTGCACAAAATAGACATTTTGATCGACGCGCAAAAAATAATAATAATATTAAGTATGTGTTTGTTGTACAGCGGCGGATCAGTTATTCACTGTGCAAACGCATCATAATATGTGAACGCACTAACAGCACGATCCTGCACCGCAACACACACTGCAAACGGGTGTGAAACGGAGGTTAGATCCACTACAGTTCTTAGAAACTTAGATGTGTTTAAGAACTCTTTTTTTCGTACAACAGCAGCACTCATCTTCTTTGTTTATTAGTGGATGTGGGTGACCAGTCGTAGACCGGAAACTGATACGTCAACTTCTGACAAAAGCGGAAGTTCGAAACTACAGTTGTACACATAGCCCATCTTAGGGATTTGCCTTACCAAGCACCACTGATAAACCCTGTAGATGACTTTTTTCTGCAACTGAAAACTTACTTGCATGTGTTAGTGAATATTATGATAGACCAATCATCATGTTCATCCTGGAACTTTTGGATGAGATTGACCAAGTATGCATCTTTGACTTTCTCAGGAGTGAGGATGAATCTCTGATCCAGTTCTTCTACAGTCCGTACACTGCAAGAGAAAGCCATACATCATAAAAATAATATTAGGCCTTTTTCAGAACAGCTTTAATGCCTATGATAACAAATAACAACGTAACTGCCTACATTACATAACCTGGCCACAAACAAAGTCTCTCTCCTAGTTGAGAAAATACTTTAACATCCAAAGTAATTTAATCCAGTGTCTTTCCATGAGAAATTCATTATATATATATATATATTATTAGTGTCATATATGGGTTTATATGTCACTAATATGTAGTGCCACATAAACCCATGATGTTTAAGTTGGAGAGAGAGAGATGATTGCTTTATGTGATTGGCATATGGGTAACCAATGATTTTATACTTCAGACAAAGCACAAGTAGATTTAAAAAAATAAAAATAAAGATGGCAGACAGGAAGTTTGGCTGAATATGGCAGATTTGGTGTCTATTTTTTTGGCATAACCCAATGAATCTATTAAGACCAGTGTCATTACAAAAAGGTTAACATTTTTGGAAATTTTGCTACAACTTTTACCACAAGGTGGTGCTACCGCAAAACTTTTGGATCACCTTCAATGTATTGTGCTAATGACTACGACTGATGACTCTGAAGTCAATGGAAATCTCATATTTTTATCTATTATAGCGGCAACAGAGGCAACATGGACAGAGGCACAATCCCACTTTTTTGTGTGTGTCCTCAGAGTGAGCCAGTACATGTGCATGTCAAATTTGGCGAAGATCTCTCACTTTTTTTTTTGGAGTTATAGACATTTATATGTATAAACTAGTGCTGTCTAACGATTAAAATATTTGATCGCGATTAATCGCATTAATGTCATAGCTAACTCGCGATTAATCGCACATTTTTATCTATTCTAAATGTCTTTTGATTTCTTTCTGTTACATTCTCTTTTCTCATTTTAATGCTCAACATGGGAAAGTGGATTGGCTTGTTTAGTGCAAATGTTTTTTTTATTATTATTATTATTGAAAATAACATTGGAATAGTGTTCAATTTCACACTAACATATATAAATAATCTCTCACACAATGTAACACTGTCTATCAATAAAAGGGTGAAAGAAATACTGACGAGGTCCTGATATTGGTGAGGGGGTGGAGAATTCGCATCAGCTGTGTGTGTGTTTGCTTGGCCATCATCAAGTGGTGTTTCGGACGTGGTGCGATGATAGCTCAGTTCACAACGACAAAACACGCAGATCACTTAGTCTTGTTAATGGGACAATTTGGCAACTTTTTAAAAGTAAACTTTCCATTCAGTATCTTAGGGCATCCATTTCGGCGTATCACGCTCGTCATCCACTCAAAACGTTACCTCGCAAGCCGAAACGAGTGTGCGCGAGCGAGCACGTCCGTCCATAATCTCTCTCAAGGTACTTTGATGATCGGTCTGCGCAGCTTCAAGCGAAACACACCTATTTTCTCCTTTACATCTCAAAACATTCTCCTGACACACTTATGAGCATGACTTACTCTGATTTGTGCTCCCAGAAGAAGGGCCTGTTCATGGCAATGCTCTGCAGCTGCTGTAACGTGTCTGTGAGTGTGGCACTAAACAGCAGCGTCTGGCGTTTTGCGGGCACAGCACTGAGAATGACCTCTAGATCTTTAGTGAAATCAGTGCAGCCCTGCTCTAAAAGACGGTCAGCTTCATCCAGGATCTGCAGAGAAACACACAACGATTCAATGAAAACTGCTTTAAAACATATTAGCTTAAGAATTTAGGTAAAACAACCATTTGAAAATACATCGAAATCTTACTAGAAACTGGATTCTGCTCAGGTTAACTGTGTCAGAGCTTCGGATGTGATCAGCAAGTCGTCCCGGAGTGGCAATAACAACATGTGGCTTTTTCGACAACTCCAAACCCTGAGTGACCATGTCTAATTGAAGAAAAAAATAAAATAAACTTTGTCTCTTAAAGTGCCCCAATATACCTTTCATGCAGTGTGTAATGTAGAGATTCGTGAATGTAAAAGGTCTGCAAAGTTTTAAAGATCAAAGTGCGCAATAAAGGAGTAAAGATTTATCGTCTCCCAAACCAAAAAGAACCGAATTTGAACTGCCTGAAACGAGTCGTCATTAATTCTAACCCATTTAGGGTTGTAACAAATCTGCATATTGCCAGCCTATGGCCTTCCGACAACACATACTTTGACCCGCCCTCAAACTGTGGCCAGGAAGAGTTTGGTTCGTGTAGTCGACATCTGTGCTGCTATAATCTGTGCTGAGAAAGCAAATCCACTGCATGCACTTCCAAAGAATGAGGACTCAGGCTCAAAATGATGCGGTAAAAGCAACACCATCGATACTGTTCATATCACTGTGTACTGTATCGAGTGCTGAGGAAGCCTCTGGAGCTGAAATTCAGATATGATAATGAGTGTTTCACTTCCAGCATGAGTTGTAAGCGGTAGACCAATCAAAACAGACTGGACCATCTAACCAATCAGAGTAGAGTAGGCTCTGAGAAAGGACAGGTTTTTGAGACTGAATTAAAACAGTTTCAGTCACAAAGAAGTGTAGGGCCCTATGATTTCCACGATCACGGCATAGCGACCCATCCCGACTCATCATTAAGTGCCGGCCTCATCGACACGACAGCCATCGGCACTGATCCTAAACATCTCATCTCCAAACCGGCGTGATTACTTCGACTTCCAACAGATGGAAATGGACAAATACTCTTAATGTTTCGATCCAATTTTTTATGTAATCACTGCTCCTTCGTTGGCCAGAGGAGAACTGGCCCCCGACTGAGCCTGGGTTCTCCCAAGGTTTTTTTTTCCTCCATTCAGTCACCTGATGGAGTTTTGGTTCCTTGCCACTGTTGCCTTTTCGTGGAATTTTACATATTTGGTTTGAAATTGAATTTTTGTGTGGGAGAAGAACGCATGTCTGGTGAAAATACTCTTCAAGAGTGCAGTGTTATGTTGCATCATGCAGTATTTGTCCTGTAAATGTCTGTTACCTCAATAAATTTAAGGTCATTCCTATTTTACTTGTATAAATTTTAATCAGTAACTTTAAAAAATCACACTCTTTGTATGACTAAAATAAAAGTCAAGGGTAAAAAAAAAAAAATTCGCAAAAATTAAAACGGAAAAAAATGAATATGGGGAAAAAATAAAAAGGGTTTCATAGGGCCCTAGAAGTGATGCTGCAATGTAGAGTTAGTATTAGAGTTAATTAAAGGTTGTTGTTTTTTACCCTGGATGCATGTAAACCTATTGTAGGAAACCTAAACAAAATTAGGAACCTTTAAAACAGCATAATAGGAGCACAAATAAATATGCATTCTATAAATGACAGTTTTCTATAAACATCAAGCACTGTTTTTGCTTTGTGAATAAATGAGCCCTAAGGATGACAAAGTAGAGCTCTGAATATTATCTTACCCATTCCTCCCACAATGATACAGTCCTTTAAGCCTAGGGGCTTCCCTAATGCTCTGAACTGTTCTGCGATCTGGTAAAG